AAAGCTGAAAAAATGTTTTCACTTTCTTAGAATTGTGTGAAAATCTTAAAACTTAAAACTTTATTAAAAAGCTTGTTCTGAGTCTAAACTTCAAAAGAAACATATCATCTTGTAGAGAATCGAATTCGCTATCGATTAGTATGGCCTTCCATTTTTATTAGGAAAAGTGTCTAGGTGCGGAAATTGAAAATACAGTTTTCAAAAAATGTAAAATTGAATTTTTAGTATCAAAATTTAACGTTTTTCAAAAACTAATGTGAGATTCGTAATCAGCGTCAAAAACTGCATCTAGTGATATGCTCCTATCAGTTCTACTCTAAAATAATTTTTTCAAAAACTTGATCAGCGAAGTCTCGAGTTACGTGGACAAGCCGACAAACTAGAGGATCATGGTATTTCATTTTGTCACTCCCTTCATTTCAATTTTGCCTGAGGCTTGAATTAATAAGAAGTTATAAGTTGATTGATAGTGTCATTGTTGCTTTTTTATAATAAAAAACAGCCTGTTGACCAAAAAAAATTAATTATCTTTAATAGGAAAGAATTTTGGAATAATAAAAAATGGACGATACAAGAATTAATTAGCAAGGCATCTTTTAGTGTAATCAAGATCGATTATAAATTTCAAATATGCTTGGAGAAACTCTATTGAATGCATTTTGATGGTTTGAACAGGTAAGCTCTAACTGAACTGAATTTTTATTTTTGCAAGCATGGTTGTTGCAAAGAAAGGCTAGCTTATGCTAATGCAACACAGAAAATAGTGAAGAAATAAAGAAATACTAAAAAGAGAAAGTTACATTCGAAATATAAACTTATACGACGGACTCATATATGACAGCGAAGAGGAATGATACATTTTAAGACATTTTGTTGATAGGGCACAAGAAAAGACAGATAAGTTATAAAAGTTGAAGATGCTGTTTCAACAGACTCTTATAGATTCTATGACTGGTTTGATTCACAACGGTGCATGGCAGCACATTCCAGTCATCAGTAGTAAGAGGGAAAAATGACCCCGAAGCAGACTTTAAGGAATAGTAAGGTTTTTGAATTAGTTTGTCATGCGTTATTCTAGACGACCGTCGATATGTTGGCGGAGTAATTAGGTTTCTGGCAGACACAAACGCAGGAATTTGAAAAAAGCACAGTTACTTTGCAAAGTGGTAGTTTGGTAGTTTGTTCTCAAAGAAGTACCTGAACTTTCCTCGTTGGACCTTAGGGAATTCGCTTTAATTTTCGCACAATTTGAAAGCCGTTAATTCTGACTGTGTTGTTGTTAGAATCTTCATGGTGCCGGCACTACCAAATCCAGTATAAAATTTAGATTCAACATTAACATTAGAAACAGAAATACTAATTTAAGATTGTATTATCAGAACTGGTGAAATTTGTGCTTCTATTCTCAAAACAAACAGATTAATATGATAGAGCTAAATTATTGCAAGCATGGTTATATTCAATACCGGTTATCGATAATAAACCATTCAAACTTAAATAATCGTTTAACCACAGTTGAAAATATTCACTGAACGTCCCGTTAGCCACCGACACAACAAATCCATGCAATGTTTTCACTTTCCGTAATACTAATGATAATACCAAGTATAGATCATCCACTTTTTTTAGCTCAACATAAAAATATCTTAAATTATCAAGTATAAATGACGACTGCTTCAATACTTTTACATTGAAATGATCATCGTCATCATTCATTGTAACCGTTAAACTTGTTAAATTCGAGAAGGTTTCACTATCAGTTATTTCTAATAGAACGTTGTAAGGTGCTGATAAATTGATAATATTGGAAGCTGTTACTAATATAACTTTCAATAAGTTTGATGGATAATACTTGTCATAAAGGTGCAAAGATTCCAAATTTACAAGTAAAACAAGTTTTGACAAATCATCAAAGATTGGTGTTGTTGTATTATCTACAGATGTTAAATCGCTATATAATGTCAGTGCCTTAACATCTGAAAATTGTTTTACAATTAACGGCACATGCACATTATTCAACTTTACAGTTAATCTATCCGTTTTTGTATACATATTCTCTAATGTTGAAGGTGCTGTTGTTGCTGTTTGCATTTTATATAGTTGTATTGTCAAACTACTACCTTTTGATCGTGGTACGGTGTACAGTAGGAATTCATTTGATTCAGATTTGTGTATATAATCGACAACGATGTACCATTCTCGTTCTAATATCCAAAATGGCGTGGAAAATGATTGTATTATACTATCAATATTAATAATATCTGTAAATATGCCATCTTCTATACATAAACTAAACCGTTCTAACAATGGTAATGATTCATTGATCAACTTCTCCCATCGAATACCATTTGCGTATTCAACTAAGCTAGCTGTAAACAAATAACAATATAGATATAGCGGATCCCTAATAATAAAAGGATAAAGAACACGGCCTGTTCAAGCGCACTAGCCAAAATCCGTAAGCTAGTCACGTTTTGTGAAGATTATAGTTCTGCGAGGAAAGCTCGGAGACGTCTCATTTTGAAGAGCAGACATTTTTCTTTAAAATAATAATTTAGCGGACGTGGATAACTGAATGGATTTCAAGATAAAGGTTTTGAAACAGATACCACATCTTTCCAATAAGGCATTCAGTTTACAGTCTGTATATGACCGCGATGCTAACTATTAGAGTTTGTCCAATTACCATTTTAAAGGAAAATGTTTGCTCTTCAAAATGAAACGTCTCCGAGCTCTATAGGAACTTTCCTCGCAGAATTTTAATCTTGACAAAACGTGACTGACTTACAGAAAACTGGACCGTTACATGGACGAGGGCTGTCAGAATATCAGTACGCAGTGTATTCTCTGGGCTTGCTGGGCTTGGTGTATTCTCATTGAGAATACACGAGAATCGCCTCACCCTCACCCTCATCCCCCCCGAACAGAAAGATACAGATAACTGTTTTGGTCTACAATATACCAGAATACACCAAGCCCAGAAAGCCGAGCACATTTTTCGAATATTAGATATTTGTGTATTCTCAGTGAGAATACACCAAGCCCAGCAAGCCCAGAGAATACACTGCGTACTGATATTCTGACATCTCTGACATGGACAGATACCTCGTCGGTAGAAAAAGAAGACTGCATCTTTTCATCATGAAAATCATTTTGAAAATCTTTGAAAAACAGGGTCATTAGCAAAAAAATCTGAAAACTATGTTGCGTGTGATTTTCATAATGAAAAGATGCAGTCACATCTTGACTTTCAATTAGTGCAAACCGAAAGTTTCTATTACTTTCCAGAGCTCCGTATAGACTGGACTGAGTCCATACGGAGCTCTGTTACTTTCTTGTCCAACGTTATTCAAAACATATTCGAGTGCATTCTTTTTTTTAACCGACAATACCCAAATGTCATCTTAAGAGTACCCGCCTCATTTTTGAAAAAAACTGGACTTTGACCTAAGCATAGCCTACTGTAGAGGAAAGTGTGGGCTACAAAATGAGACCACTCCCAGCCCTCCACAACCTTTCTTCAAAAAGTTATGCATTTTTGAAGTTTTTACTTCAAAGCCTTAAAAACTCAAGTTTTTAGTTTTATAAATTTTTCTCTTCTTTTCTGTACATTCAAAATTTTTCTTACACATAGTCTGATAGGAGAATGTGTTTTCTTCACAATACGATGTTTTCTAGAATTTTCTGATCGTGAAGATATAAGCATCGCGGCAAATGCCCTGAAAAAGTGGCCTATGTACAAAATGCGTTTTTGCTCGAAAAAAACGTTTTTTGCTGCCAGGCTTCATTGTGTAACATTATGACCTCCCTTAAATTTCATCCGATCGAGTTCAAAATGTTACCAGAGGTACTCAAGGTCATAGCGCAGAGGTATAATTTTGGAATTTTTTACCGAGTTACAGGGTTTCTAAAATTGAAGAACTTGATTTTTGAGACGTTTTTCAGTATTTTTCTGATAACTCGACCAGGAAAGGTCTCAACAAAATTTCCCAAAAATCTACCTCTGCGGAATGATCTTGAGTATCTGATAAAAATTTGAACTCGATCGAATGAAATTTTAGGGGGGGAGGGTCGTAATGTGACACGATGAAAAACCGAGTTTTCTGAAAAACTGATGAACGGCAAAAGTTAGAAACTTGAAACAAAAACGAAAAAGTGCTCCATTGGGTTTCCAATCGGTTCTGAAAGTACGAAGTCCTAGCGACTTTTAGTTTTTATTTCGCAGCATTTCTACGGAAAGCCTATAAAGAGGGGAGGGATACCTTTAAGAAATTGCGAGTTTTTGAAGTTTTGAGCCTTTTTTAGATAGATTTTCATGCAGATCTGCATCTCTAGATACTCGCCTGAAAATGCCAATATTTTTAACTGTGGAATATTCTTTAATAGCTGTTCTGTTTTATCAAATTCTATATGTGACACATGAATTTCTACATAGGTTAAATTTGGCACATATTTTCCAATATTCTGATATATTTCATAATCGGTTGTATCATCCGAATTTCGACTATTATATATATGAATATCGAGACGTTTTATTTTCGGTAAATGTTTTAATAATGTTACAAATTCATCGATATAACATGCATACATATTCAAATATTCAATATTGCATGTTTGAATTGTAGTCTGATCAAGTATAATTGAAGAGTAAAATGATAATGTTACACGTTTGAGTGTCGTTTTCTTCTGAAAAATTGCTTCCGTCATTGTTTTTGAGCAAGAATTTAAATCGAGTTTATCAGGACCAAATGAGGCTATTTCTAATTGTTCAATATGAATTAGTTTTGATAATTTTTTCATAATTAGTTTTAAATTATCGTGCGTTGGATCTTGAAGAATAAGTGAACGAATATTCATAAACATATCCAATTGAAATAATTTATGAAATTGTGTGAGACGACCATATCTATCGGAGATTTTTAATGAAACAATTTGTATTAAACATTTTGGAATAACAGTTATACAATAATTATCGAATAAATGTTTTGATAATGTATCGTTGATTTTAACTGATAACATTAAAACAGAAAGTAAGTGATTGAAACGCCAGTTTAAATGATTAAATGATTCAAACAGGTCGAGTGGCTCCAAATATTGAAGTATATCGAGTACGATTTCATTTGGTAACTGTTCTAATAATGATGGCATGATGAATATCTGAGACAGATTATGAACAGAGATTGTACGTTTTCTAATTTGAATCAGTAAAAATGCTGTAAAAAACGTTTACAAAATTTCGAACAAGTGTTTCACGATAAACACTGTTTCTTTTGAATGTGATGTTCGATTTTGGAAGAAAAAGGACGTTAATCGTTTGTTCTCCTTATGCAATGTGATCTTTGTCAACAGAAAAAGGAAACAGTATAATAGTGTAGCTGTGATTCACTTTCTTCTTGTAAGTTGACATGTGATAGGATTGTAAATATATAAGATTTGAGAGCATCGGCCAAAATCAATTTCTTTTCTTATGTTTTTTATATTATTAAATATTTTTCATTTATTTGACAGATGTAAATTTTGTCTAAAGTCAATATTGCATTCGAAGAAAAAGCCTACAAAAGGAGTGGAGCAGATTTTTATGATATATCTACACTTTGATTTGCTGTACTATTTGCTCCTCATTTCGATCTCGTAACCAAGCCGAAACTGCAAGCTCAGGTTGACTTTAATCAATTGTAAATTGTAACTTTTATTTCCTTGTATGCATTTTGAATGATGAGCGGTTTAGACAAGTTTTTTGCTTTACACATAAATAAGCGTTTTATCAGGGAATCTAAAGACACATAAACGCAATATATCTGGTATAACTGTGTTAAACATGCGTAGTTCTAATGTGATCTCTGAAAATTAATGATTGATGAGAAAGTCACTTGCAAAACCCGTTTTTCTCGACGAACACAAAATAGATGATTAATTCATGTTGTTATTACTTCCCAGGTCGCAGGAAATGAGACATAAATGAGGCATGTATGGCTCATTTATGATATGAAGTGAAAATGATCATATTATAATCCTAAAATGATTTAAATATGAGCTTAAAATGATATTATATTTGAGTCATTTTAAGACCATTTCATAAAATGAGATAAAAATGATGTATATATGATATAATTTGTAAAAATGATCTAA